ATGAAAATGAAAATGAAAATGAAAATGAAAATGAAAATGAAAATGAAAATGAAAATGAAAATGAAAATGAAAATGAAGTTGCTAATGTTGAAATCAATAATTATAATAACGATATTAATCTTGATAACAGTTTTAATGAAGTTCTTGTATTGAGTGACGATTATGAGAGTATGGTTATTAGTAGTAATCATGATGAAGTTGGTGGTGATATTGATGTTGAATAATTCACATCTTAAAATATTTTTAAAAATAAAAAAAAATTTGAACATTACTTTCACAAAAGTTCGGTCGTCCTAAATCAATTAATTGCACAAAAACATACATAAATAACTACATGCTCGATAAAGGTGAAAATTTCAAAAATTCAATGCTAATAATAAATAACAGTTATTAATAAGTCGTTCTAACGCACATCCTCAAAAATAGAACATAGCATCTGGTCTTTGTATGAATGGTGTTCCTGGTACTCCCGCCTTCAATGTGACTCAATTTGATTGTAAAAGTGCACCAGCATGGGATATTTATGGGTATGTTGAGTTTGAGGTCATTTTTCTCCTATGCAAATCTAAATTTTCATTGTGCCATTTTAAATTTTCAATAGGAGAGCAAAACCCAACACCACCACACTCACTATCACACCCACCGCCACACCCACCCTCGCACCCGTCATCGCACCCGACATCGCATCAACTTCTGATATTCGACTTCCAATATTTGGAATTATAGGCATAGTTCTGGGATCGATTATTGGCACGGCTGTTATTGCTTTTGTGACAAGTTATTTGATTATCCGGCGTCAACGATTGGCTTATACTAAGAAACCTGATCGTGTCAACGTTCAAGTTTTTTCCGGTTAAAGATCAGGCTTGACATCTAAATCGTGCATTATTTCTATTAGCATAAGTCTATTTGATGATTAAGCTGATTTTATATTCTTTGATTTTCATAATTGTAAATAACTGCAACACTCTACTATTTCACATGAACATATTTTACCAAATAATTTTCTTTCGTTTATAACAACTTGCATATTCATTCATATTTAATTTTTAAATTTTTTGATGTTTATATGTATATTTAAAGTGAAAATCAAATAATC